TGTACTGTGTCAGACTCAGGTTTTAAATCGACAAAAGTTACGTACAATAGAAGCTGATGTCTGCGACATTGTTACTCGACCATGAAAAGCTTTAGCCCGTAACAACTGCACGAATAATCATTTCTGAATCTCTTCTCTGTCACGGATGACTTTGAACCTTATGCTGACGAGTTCCGATGGATCATGTTCCATCCACTACGCTGCAGGCCCATCATACAGTCTAATTTAGCATGAAAAATCTACCTTAGAGGGAGGTTATGCGCTTTTTAGGGGCACAACCTCTATTATCAGCCGGGCGTATACCGCAGAAATTAAACTGACGTGAAAAACTTGTGCTATGTGATGAAAGTAAATTCCGTCACGAGGCAGTTAATTAATTTTTTGACCGGTACCTTGAACGACGAACAGGTGACAGGTTAAAAAGGCGACAAAAACGGAAAGGAAGCTCGCGAAAATGACATTATATGGTTCTGCCTATTTTGCTTTATAACTAACCGATAAATAGATTCAGCCACTGGACGTAAATAAACGTTGTGGCGCCGATTTCAAGATCGTCAGCTGCTGTCAACCACCTCCACTACCTCTATCCTTTGTTCGCAATGCCCATCGCTCCTGCAGATGACCCTATTAAATTTTCTTATTGCATGAACATGTATTAGAACAGTCGGTATTCAAGTCAAGTGCATGTAAAGCGTTTAAATGGGGGTCGATGAGCAGCGTAAAAATGGAAAAGAATAATCTGATCTTTGCCCTACAAGCGCCAGATAACGCCGCATTCGGTAGTCCAGCAATTCTTAAACGGCTGCGTGACAGGATGGTCATGGCACATGCCTGATGAGCTTGGAGCAGGTAATTCTCTGACTTAGGCCGCAACCCTTTTCACAACTCCCCATGGTATTTTTCCATTGGCTATATTAACCTAGGGCTCTCATTAATGTACCTTGTCGCTCATCGTACTTGTGCAAGGAAGCCGACAAAGAAACCAACTTTCAGAAGACAATCAAACTGACCACACAGACAATATGATTTCACTTGCTTTTAGAACCGTTACCGAATACGGGTGAAACGTTGTCATTAATCATGTGAATGATACAGTCCGTGGCTGCATAATAAGGAAGCAGGCTAAAAATATCTTTCTCAGAAGATGAAAAGGCGGAAGATTGAATCATACAGCCCATCAGGGAACTCCATATTCTGGAAAAGGATTCTGAATGAAGGAATACAACAGTTCACTAGCAAATACGGCGTTATGAAAATATACCGCTACATGCAGAACCTAGGAGATCTTCTGTATAAGAAAAGGATCGCACCACAAGAAAATAACCCCACGATAGGGTATTGCAGCAGTTGCATCCGTGGCTACGCTCACGTCGGAGATACGGCAAAAAAAATCCAAAACAAGATACACGAACAAGTGGCCTGCATAAACAGAGCAGACGACGAAGGTTAAATACTTGCACAGCACACCATCGCAAAGAAAAGGAGGAATGACGCTCTGCAACGAATATTCGCGTTAAGAAAGGTGCAGAGTTGTCAACTGATCATCACCCTGCAGTTTGTCTATCCGCTGTAAACCATTGAGTTCTATGCGAAAACCTGTCAGCAGGAGTAACCAGAGAATGAAATGGCAAAGATTATGTTCTGAGGAAACGAGAACGAAACTTTCAAGCGACATTGCACGACGATCTGAACAGACCTTGGCGACGACGGCTGACGGATAATTTGACTGGAAGTTCTTTGACAGCAAATTACTTGGTGCCGCCATAGAACACTGTGGTCGAGAACGGGTTGTTTTGCTGCGTGTAGATAAGAAACAAAATTTCTGGTGAACACAATATGTTCATCTGGCCGAGAGTGAAAAGACTCTGTTCTAAATTTAGTTCGAAGGTAAAGAGCGTTCAAGACGAACACAATGGAGTTGAAACTAGCAAATATGCATCAATAGCAGTGTCTAGCGAGAAAGCTCATTTTAAGAAAGGTGCAGTGAGGTGCGGTTTCGAATATTGAGACTGCAAACAAGATTTTTAGTAGGTAATGCGCCTCAACTGAGGTGGAATGTAGGGTAGTTTGAAAGCCCTGAAGGACAAGTCTGGTTGCCTTCCCATCAAGGAAGAAGACATACTTTGGCGATGGCACGGATGCTTTGAGAAGCACTTTATCCCGGAGTAGATGCAGGAAGATTCGTCAAAGGAGCCACAGGCACCGTACATAAACTAATCAGTAGATGAAGTCATAAAGGCTGTAAAATGTTTGAAAAGTGGAAGAGCTGCTGGATTCGACTGAAATCCACCTTGAGATGCTTAAAGTTTTAAGTGACCAAGATTTGTTGTAGCTGATGCGAGTCCGTTATACAGCAATGACTACATGGAAAACGCCTGTAGAGCGAGAAACTAGAGTAGTAGCACCTCTTTTCAAGAAGGGAGACCATAGGGACAGTTTAATTATCAGGGTATTGCGATGTTTAGCCTGCAGATTAAGGTCTAAGTTTACTTTACGATATGAGATATATCGCTTACCGGATCTTCGCCTTAGGCTAGGCTATTCAAAAATCGTTGGATTTCGCTCATGCTGTTTACACGTGCGTTGTTGACCTAAAGAAAGGCTATGACTGGATCAAACACGATGAGCTGTGGGCGTGCTTAGCAGATATGAAACCGATTGCCAGTTGCTACCGGCGATCCACTTACAACATTTTTATTGCAGGTGCTGCGTCAGAGTCAATGACGTTAAGTCAATGCGTTTCATCATTGACACTGGGCTCTGGCAAGCTGTACTCTTCCCTTCTACTGATCATGTTGCACGTAGATAGAATATTTGGGATCAGTCAGAGCGATGTGTGCATAAGCGAAAGAAGTGTGGGGGACAAGGTTGATGTGTTGAGAATATCTTGTTATGTTGACATAGTCTGAGGCTGATGTCCAGCCCTATCTGGAAAGATTCGCCTTCCTGCGCGACATCGCCAGTATACGCGTGAACACGTCTAAATCGAAAAGATTACTACTTTTTCGTTCTCCTATCCGTTGAGCACTTCTATTAAAAGAGAAGCAATGGAGCATCAAGAGAAATCTACGTATTTCTGGGTGAAGCTTACTTATGACAGGAAATCAAGAACACGGTCGACCGTGGCCAGTGGAGTTCGGTGTAAAATAGTCTGAATCACTGGATTAAAGCAAAGCTGAACTGTCTATTTTCAAGTCGAATTTTATCTCCTTGCTGACCAGTGGTAATGAATTGTGTACCTTGACCAAAAAACTTCGATGTCTGATACATGCGGCAAAAAATGGCTTTGTGAAACGAATTCCGGTGCTCTCGCATCTCGACTTGTTCAATGTTTAGTTGTGCGAGAGAGCTATGGTGCACAGCAGCTACTTTTCGAGATTTAAACGTCGCACCTACAATTTTGCGGGAACGTCTTTCAAATGCTTAGCGAAAAAACGCGAGACAACTATTACTTTTTCAACCAATCCGCGAAAACTCAAAGGAATGACCAAAGAATAACCTGAGAAAGTTTATCGAAGGACTCAGCTCCAGACTCTGGTTGCCTTTTGTCGATGTTCAAATACTTGCACAGGATCGGGATGTTGCAGAACTTGTTTGACCTGTTTCCCTCCACGACCAGAAAGATTATGCGACCCTCGAAAGTGACTCACTAGCTGACTATAAATTGAGTATAGACAGAAAAGCATATTTAGTATTTAGCACAGTAAATTTAGCACATTTAAGCTCAAACCAGGCATTTTTCTGCTAGCAACTTATTTGAAAGAATACCATGTACCTTGTTGCGTAATATGAACATTTTCAAAAGCAAATTAATTGTTAAAACATGTTTCATTAAATTTAGATCGCTTATAACGGAGCATATTGTACTTCTTATGTCAGGTGTAAATTGATTCTACAGTAGTGCCCGGAAAGCATTAGTTTCGTTTATTATAATGTTGTGATCGTTTAATCGTTACTGAATATGTTTTGTTTGGCGATGGTTTTTGGCATATGAGGGATAAACATAATTATTGGTTCTGTGCGGATTTAATTTATTTCAGAAAGTTGCAGCAGCCTGGTTTTAACTATGTCCGAGATATAGTTTTAAGTATTTGTTTCTGTATTAGTGATTTATTAAAGAAATTTAAACTTCTTTAAGTTTCTGTATTATATTTTAATTGAAATCATGTAAATCTGAGATATTCAGTTAATTCGATTTATTAGATTTATTTTGTGGCAAGTGTATATCGAATTTCGCGCATCGATGCCTATTAAACCTGAGGATAATTATTTGAAAATAAATTTTTGCCAGATATTTCAATGCTGATGAATAAACACGTGGAAGTTCATGAAATTTTATGTGGTGTTTTGATGTTTCGTTCAAAACTACTTGGCTTTATTTGCATTCTGATGATTGACGGAAATATTCTGTTGTGTAGTAAATTTCTCTTTCTTTCTTAACGAAATTCCTGCGTGTCTTAATGTTTAAATTTCAGTGTATCTTTGAAAAGCGTCGGAAATGGTTTTATGGTATAATTATGTAAGTTAATTTGATGTTTAAAAAATATTATACAACCCTTCTTAAACAAGACTAAAGTCTGTTTGGACTTAGTTGAACTGCACGATTCTATTCGATTATTCAGTCCATTATAAACGAGATTTCTAAATCACGAGAAAATCCGCTTTTCCTGGATCCGGATCCGGTCGAAGAAACTATTCCTAATTTTTAGTTTATACAAAAATTTTTCCGTTTCATCAAGTTTCTGTTGCGAACCTTTGATTTCAGTATTCTAACGTTTAAAATGTTTGTTATCGATATTAATTTACTTTCATTATTCTGTGATGAGTTCGAAACTGTTAGCGAAATAATTTCTTTTTGGTAGTCGGCTTGCTTCAGAGGTGAAATCTTCAAGGTATAGCAAGGTTAATTAGCGAGTTATAAGGAAGTTGTATATCAGAGGTTTCTTAATGTAATTCTTGATTCCGTTTCGTTTACGGTTAATTGTTTGAGGGCTCCGTAAATGACGGACGACTGCCCTAAAGGAATCGTTCTTGGCCGTTCGAAAAAGGAGGCAAAGGAACAATGCGGCAACGCGGCCGTAGTCGACAGTGACCAACCATCGACAGATGTCTCGATGAAGCTGCAGCAAAGTGATGCAAATTCCAACAGCGCTGCAGACGCATTATCAGAAGACGATGTCCCGCAAAGGAATCCAACTCCTGACTATCAGTTGGACGACTTGAAGAGAGACCTGACGTTCATGGGGCACCACATATCGAAGATCGTCTCGGTGCTGGGTTTAAGCAAATGTAACTGCTGCGATTGTGACCATAGTCGTCTGAGAATTGTCGAGCACTGCTCCGCTAGTTCCAACGGTCATCAATCGAACGCCCATCCAACTGAAGTAAGAAATCTGCGCATCTTTTCGTTACACACCTCTTAACCCTTTAATTTACGTCGCTACGATACAGTTTAAGCCATGAGTCGATTTAGGCTCGTCATATTTCTGTACCCAGATTTTTCAGTTAAGATAACTGATTATCGCAGAAGATAGTAAATACGTTCTCATTGATACTGATACCTATATCATAATGTTAGGCAGTGGAAAATATGCTTATACGGAGGCTGAGCTTTTAAAGAAAAGTGCGACTGAGGCAACAGTTTTGACTCAAGGAACGTATTCTGGCATGAGCTCATAGTTCAGTCGCTCATCTCTTTTACCTTATCAGCAAATTCTTACGAATTAGGTCCGTAGCGAAACTTATTCGATTTTTTTGCAACCAGATGTTACATGCATTTGTCGAGAGCCACTATGCCCCGTTGTTTACTAAAAATTTAATCTAAATTCATGTAGCTTATAAAAGTATGTCGGTTTGCTAATCGATTTGTGTTTGTAAACTTGTAAACTTCTATAAATTAACACGTATTTTAAGGTTCACTGAGTACAATCGTATAGCCATCAGGATCCCCGAGAAACGTCGATGGAATGGTTCGTATTGGCGACTAGCGGTGTTTCTTGTTTCACCTGTCATCAACTTTAGGATAAATGTTAGTTACCATTCCATTGTCAATTAATCAGTGCACGCTCTTATTCATGCACGGTTTATTTTATTTATGATCCTGCTCAGTAACATATACAGCTTATGGCTGATCCAGTAAAAATTGCATGGTCTAAGTCGTTTTATTTTTGTCAAATTAATGTGCGCATAAATGTATTAAATTATACACCAAGCCAGCCTCTTGATCTACCATGTAATTGCATTAATGAAAGAATAAATACGTACAGTGCCCAGTGTCTTAATATATTATTGTAGTAATTAAAAATTCAGTGTTTAATTTTCTGATCCATAGTTTCTTGTTTCCAAAACTGGAATTTATCTTATATCCAGTTATTAAATCCCCCTAATTGCAGGTGTTCGTAGTTATGATAATAATTGTTCAATATTGTTTTAAGGCTTTGATAAACTGAAGTGGATAAACAGTCAGTCAGTTTCGATGACCCGCGTATCCTTCCGGATCGCGGAGGCAGATGCGTTGGACAGTATCTTCAACATTTCTGGTCTTACGCCAACGTTTGAGCACGAGCAGAAGATAACAAGAATCTAGGGTAGAGTGTGTCGAGACACTTGCCGTGCCCTGATTCTTCAGCCGGCCGATTGGGCAAAGATGGATTTTTTTCGCTTTCCTTTCTGGAAGCATTCGCGAAGCTTACTCTAACCATCGCAGCTCTGACTTCTCAGTCTGAAGATGCAGCAGCTGTGCACCAAGGCTCTCGCGTCTTTTTTGTGATGCTAGCGATTAGCGATGATTCTGTGATGTGTACTGCTGCTTGTACCTGGGGTCAAAGTTTTCTATTCATGGCTCACGACTCATGACCGTAGATGAGGGATGAAGATCAACTTGAACACAGAGAGCTTCGTCTTCAGACTCCGCTCTGTCTTAATCTTAGCGGTTCGGGTTGTTTATAGAGAACTTCGCGGACTATTCCAATTCGCCGGTCCATTTTTTCCACCCAGTTTCCATCACCAGTAAACACGATCCCGAAGTACGTGAATTTCTTCACCTGTTCTACTCGTTTTCCGTTTATCTGAAGAGCGCAACGGGTAGGTGCACGAGAAAGCACTAGGCTTTTCGCTTTAGTTACGTTCACAGGCATGCCGGCCTCGTCGCACTCGACTGCAGACCTTTCGGGAGAGCGCTGGAGATCAGTTTCAGAAGATGCTAACAGAACAAGGTTGTATGTAAACAGCAAAGTTCTTCCCTCCACATCTACGCTGATACATTGGTTACCTCAGCTGCGTCTGACTATGTTGTCTGTGAGCAGCAGAAACAGGAAAGGAGACAGAACGTAGAACCTTGTCTGAGGTCAACGCCAACGTTTAAGCGTCGCGGCTTAAAGCTCTGAGGCAGCACCTGCTATCAACAGCTGGCGACTGTATGGTTCATGACAACTGGTCATTGATCCCATACGTTTATAGACATGCTCACAACTTGTTGCGCGGAATCCGGTCATAACACGTTTTCTTGGGCCAAAAGGCACATATAAATCGCATAAGTGAATTACCACGATTTCTGAAGA